TGCTCTAGGGAGAAAAGCAAGGTCTGCTAGGGACTGTGTGTGCCTGGGAGTGAGGGCTGGGCAGGAAGACAAAGAAGAATTGAGTTTAAATGACCACTAGAGAGAGAAGATGACCTTCAAGCCTTCCTCCTCTCGGAAGGAGCATACAGAGGTGAATTAATGGCCCCGGAGGCCCACAGTCATTTAGTGAAGCTGGTCACCTGGGAGGGTCAGGACGGAACCCCAGGACAGCCGCAGTGGCCTGCTGGGTTAGCACATTTTTCATAGAGATGCTGGTAATGGACCCAGTTTTTCTGAAGACAGATCTGAGCGTGGGCCCCCACTGCAGTCCTGTGGCTGGAATCACTTTGGCATAGAGGGTTCCCCAAAGAAATTGGCAGCCCACTCCCTCATCGCAGCCCCTGGGCAAGGTGACATGCGGGGCCTGCAGGTTGGCAGCGTCTGCCCCAGGTGGTGGCTGCATCATGAAGCCAGTGAGTCAGGCCACTGGGCCGCCTGCGTGCAGCAGCTCTCCCCACCCCCCCCCCGGGATTTGGCCTCCATCACACGGTCAGCAGTGGGTGCCCTCGGCTGCTGTGTCTCCTGGCCAGGCCTCGGGCTGGACACTCCGTGTACACAGCCAAGTAAGGCAGGCCAGGACTCGCCAGTTTGTGACTTCCATTACCCATTGCATCCTGAGCCCAAGCTTTCCTGTGACACGGTTTGGGGCAGGCATGGGGGGAAGAAGGGAGAGAACTGGGCCAGAGCCTCGAGGGGGAGAAACGGCAAAGAGCGAGGAGCTGGACTGGGTCCGTGGTTAGGAGCCAGGAGCTTGGAGCCAGACTGCCTGGCTGGACGTCCTGACCTGCCACTTGCTAGATTTGTGACTTTGGGCAAGTGGCTAAACTATCATCCCTCAAAGTTTGCGAAGAAAGTGGAAGTACTAGTGGGAAGGGTAGACTGGTGGGAAGGCACGGAGGGTAAACAGAGTCAGTGCGTGGTGATGTGCGTGTGAACTTCTGACCCGCCCCACAGCCATCCCACACCTTGAAGGTCACTGGCCGTGGGTGACTATTGCCAATGTTAAAGCCACTTCTTTTTACATGAGTCTGTTCCCATAGAGAAGTGAAGTTTTTAGGGGCGAGGGGGAGGAAGCTGGGTAATGTGACATTTGTGTGCTGGAGATACTGCAGATCAAAGGTGCGTTATCAGCCCACTGGTGCCAGGCTCCCGGCTCGGGAAGAACACAGCTGATAAAGGGGCCGCCTTGCGTGAGAGCAGGAGGGCCCAGGCCTGGCAAACTGCCTGGGAAGAGCTGTGGGAGGGTTCCTGCTCAGACCTGCCCTGGTCTCTGGAACTCGGCGGAAGGACCCAGCAGCTCCTCTCTGGGCATCAGGTTTTTGTTTTTTTTTTTTTTTCCAAAGGTATGATCATCATTAGCAAAACTTGGGATGGGCCAATAAATATGTTTTTAAAGATTTATTTATATATTTATGTATAGAAGTGCTGGGGTCTAGGCCAGAGGTGGGGGGTGGGTGAGAGGATCCACCAGAGACAGAGTAGGAAGCAGAACAGGTGGATCCACTGAAATCCACCGCTGAGGGGAGCAGCGGGGAGACAGGAGAGGTCTGCCGCGCCATGTGGGCAGCTCCCTGGCCAGGACTGAACCCAGGACAGAGGGTTGATGGTGCGGAGACTCGACCCCTCGGCCACCAGGGAGGTGGGTATCCATTCTTAAGATGCGGCTCAGAGCTTCCAACCCAACATGCGCCTCTGTTCCGGAGCATCCGTAAATATTCAGTTTGCTGCGGGAGGAGAAAACCTCACTGATATGGGAGCCACATTCCCATGTGTAAGCTTTTATTTATTCAAATGAACCCCGTGCAGAAGGATGCGGGAAGCGGGCCGAGCAGAGCCAGGCTCCCCTCTCCGCTGCTCTGTCCTTGCGTGCCTGGCCCTTCCCGGGCTGGAGTGGGTCCTGCGCGCGAACTGGGAGGTTTGGCGTGCACTGGTCCCCCTCTAGTGGCCGGACTGACTTCAGCTTTTGCTCTTTTGAACAAGAAATCTGGAGAGTTGGGGAAGCTTTTATCAAGGGGGACTGTGGTATGGGGAAGGCTGGGGGAGAGAGGTTGAAAGAGGGGAGCAAGCCTTTACTCCACAGGCAGCACAGTGGGGCGAGGCGTCTGTCCACCCCAATCAGGGCTCCAGCTTTGTGTTTGTTTCCTCTAACCTCCAGCTTTCTAGAGATGGGGAGATGGAGAAAGTCACCTGTGCGGGTGAGGACTCGGGAATGTTTGCTCATCTTTTTATTGTGATTGTTTTGAAATTCTACTACCTTTATCATATAATTATCTTATTAATAACATCCATTAAATTGGGTTAGAGAATATTTTTAACTTACAAGAGGAACAAAATGCAGAGAATAAAACCAGAAATGGTGAGAAAGAGGTACTGTTTGTTTAGAAGCCCCTCTTTTGTGTGGGTTCTGGGTCTTCCCCCAGATCTGTGCCAGCAGGTACACACTATCCATGGTTGTGATACCCAGAATATTTTCTTTCTTTTTTAAAAAAAAAGATTTATTTATACGAGAACTGGGGTACAGGCCAGAAGTGCAGGGGGTGAGAGGATTCACCAGAGACAGAGTGGGGAACAGACCAGGCAGACTGACTGAAATGCACTGCTGAGGGGAGCAGCAGGTGCAACAGGAGAGGTCTGCTGTGCCATGTGGGAATCTCCCTGGCCCGCCGGCAATCGAACTGGCGCTGCGGAGGCTGTGGACAGCTTCATAGCGGTGTGCTCAACCGCCTGCACCACCAGGGAGGCCCCCAGAATCTTTTCTATGATTCCCAAACATATATTACATGTGTATATTCGTCTATAATAAATACAGCTGATTTCTAATTATGCCCATAGACACACACACAGAAATCACATACAACATTTTCAACTTATATTTGGTTTTTATAAAACAGAATGGAATCATACTATAAAGACTATTCATTGAACGTATTCTGTATACCATGTGAAAGTCCTGTCTATGCCTAGCTCTTTTTAAAGTAGCTGCATTAATGAAATTATACAAGCATTCCCCTATGAATAATTGGGTTATTTTCCATTTTTATTGCTAAAAATGTTTCAAAAAACCTATTCGTACCTACTTCTCTCTTTCCCAGTTGGTACAGCTATTTCTGTAGGATAAATTGCTGGGAGCTGAGCTCCTGCCTCAAAGCATTTGGTTATTTCACATCGTGATGGGTATTGACAGCCCTCCAAGGAGCCTGCGCCACCTTCCCTTCCCACGCACAGTGAATCTGTAGCTTTTCAATGGCTTTTCTCCTAAAATGAATCTGAGAACAGCCAAGGTGGCTCATCCAAGGGGAAATTCTTCTGTCGGTTGACGAATCTGTCAGGGAAGATGAAGGAAATCAAAGGGGAGTCTTCACCAGCCTCCGCACTGTGTCCCTCGCATTCCTGGCTGAAGTACAACCTTGGGGAATGCTGACTGGACCATCTTGGTGCAAAGAGCTCCAGTCTGCAGAAGTGACTCAGGTGCATGGAATGGGCCTCCCCACCCCCAATCCAGTGACCTCTTCACAGTGACCATGTAATCCCCCACCCCTCCGCTCCTACGGTTTGGGGATGGACAGCAGCCCCCATCTGAGTTGACCTGACTTCTCCTACCTAGGGCCTGCTTGAGAAAATAGCAAATCCATTTGTCTCTTTCTGGTGGCAAATTCCTAATGAGGGTGGTGATGCCTTGAATCGCTGGAAATGACAGGTGTCCAAATGTCTGCCCTGCTTGAAACCTTATAATTCTCCTACATTTCTGAAATTAAAGTTTTGAAAATAAAGATTATCCATTCATAATGGAGAAGAAAGTAAATACGAGAAATTCGGTCACAGCAGGAAGAGGAAGTCTCAAGTCTTAAAAGCTGCAGCCTCGGGCGAGAAGATGAACACACTTAGGGTCTCGCACACCGATGTGGCTGTAGGCAACAAACCTGCATTCCTTTGGAGCTGCCAAGAGACAGACCTCAAATGTCCTCAAGAGCAAAGTGGCGACTGCTATGGGTGGTGTCAGCTGACGTCACGGCGGTGATGACCGGATCAATCCACTCGCTGCAGACTTCCGAAAGGTGCTACATTCAGTCACATCTGAAAAGAGGCGGAAGAGGGAAAAGGCCAGATCTGGAGGGTTCTGCTGGCTGTCAGTCATGTCTTCGAAGTCCACGTGGGGCCCATTTTCTGCAATCCCCTGCGAAAACATACTCCAGAAAAGATTCAAGTATGGGCCTCCCCGGGAGGCGCAGCAGTTGAGCTCTGGGCTGCGAGGCGGCCTGCAGCCTCTGCAGACCCAGTTCGTTCCCCCGCCGCTGGCGAGGGTCCCACAAAAAAAAAAAAAGAAAGAAAAGATTCAAGTATGGACTTGTAAACTTGTTTAAAGATGCATTCTGTGAAATAATACAATAATAAAATAATAAATAAAATAATAAAGTAATAAAACTGATTTCAATGGGAAAGAAGTAAAAAAAAATAATTTTCAAAAAAAAAAACTAATTGAAAGGGGAAAGATTTCACTTTCGAAAGCCCTATCCCCCAGGCTCCCGCGGTATCCTTGTTCTAACACCTTGGGCCTGTGTCTGCGCCACGTCCCTGTGTCCACGCCACCGGCTCGTCCACCTCTACCTCACCCTCCCAATGCTCGCCTTTGTCACCAGAACAGCCAGCGCTTGTCGGAGGGAGGAGGCCAAGTTGGCAAGAAGCTGATGTGCTTCCTGGCACGGATGCCCGCCCGGCGCTGTTCTTTGTCACTTTTTTGGGTACAGCCAGTTCATAACAAGATGTTCTCTTAAGAGACTTGAAATGGGTTTTGATGGTCAGCTGTTCAAAGAAGCGCCCCTGAAGAAAGCCACAGCCCACGCGTCTCCTCCACTGGGACACTGTGCGGCAAGTCAGAGCATGTGGAAGAAGAAGAGGCAAGTTCACGCATTAGTGTTTGAAAAACATTTAAAGCACGTGCAACTAGATACTTCGGGGAATAAACCAACCCGCTCGCCCACCCCTCCGCAGCAGCTCCGTGTCTGCGCCCTGAGTCCTGCAGACTTTTTCAGAGCACTTCATACACTGACTTACTGCACAAAAGACTGAAAGTTTCTTTCTCTCTTAAATTTGAGAATGCAACAAAGAGAGAAATTATCTGCTAAGTCATACCTTTTTGAGATTGGGCCACAGCTGTTTTCCTTGCAGTCTTCGGGGAAGATGCCAATACAGCCTGCAGCTGAGCCAGAAGCTTCCGTGTCCTCTCGGCCTCACCCTCCTCTCGGCTCCACGTCCAGCCTGTCGCCAGGGCTGGCCGCTGCTGTGGACTCTCTGATAGAAACCCCCGGCCCCCGCGGCTCACACAGCAGTCCTGGCTCTCTGACGCGTGAATCCACAGCCCCCATGTGCTCCACCCGTGATGGCGTCCCATTGCTTTTCGGGAGGAGCGTTAGCCTAGTCAGCTTGGGCCATGGCGATCAGACACCACAGGCCGTGGCCTCAACCGCAGTTACTTCACCACTTCTGGGGGCGGAGACGTGCAGGGTCAAGGTACTGATTTGGTCAGTGTCTGGGGAGGTCACGTTTCTTTGCCCCTCCCAGCTGAGCAAACGAGACTCTTTTGTTCTCCATGCTGGTCTCCAAGACCCACAGACGCTCATTCTCTTTCTTGATCATGGAGGCAGATTTGACCTCATCTCCTTGCCCGCCACTTGCCGAAATGCTTATTTCTTAAAAGCCTGATGTTGTCACCTGGCCTGTGCGCTTGGGTAGCGAGCCCGTTGTTGGGGACACAGGCACCTTGGGACAGAGGCTCAGTAAGCGCGGCCCAGGCCCGAGGGGCTGAGGCTTGGATCCTGGTGTTTCCCGGAGCGCCCTGAGATGGCTGAGCCCAGACCCTGGACGGGCTGGCCGAGGGTCCAGTCTTACTTCAGAAACTGTTCCAAGACCGCATGCTGTGATGAGTAAACCTGTGTGTGAATATGAAACGCTCCCCAGGGGGGCCTCCCTGGTGGCGCAAGGGGTTAAGACACAACCTGTGAAGCAATCCGCAGCACGAGTTCGATCCCTGGCCGGCCAGGGAGCAGCCCACAGGGTGCGGCAGACCTCTCCTGTCTCCCCGCTGCTCCCCTCAGCAGTGTGTTTCAGTAGATCCACCTGTTCTGCTCCCTACTCTGTCTCTGGGGAGTCCTCTCACCCCCTGCAGCTCTGGCCTGTACCCCAGCTCTTGTATGCATAAATAAATCTTTAAAAAAAAAAAAAAGAAATGCTCCCCAGGGGCCACACCCTGTGAGTCCAGTTCGTGGGAGCAGCCCCCAGATGCGCGCATGGGCTGCTCATGCTGCTGTCTGCCCTGCAGCCTGTCCTCGGGAGCATCTTGGGTCCAGGAGACAGTGGACAGAGACAGGCCACCGAGGCAGGGCAGGGCATCACAGAATCAGACCGTGGCCCCATTGTTTCTCCCTCTTATTCCCGAAGTAGCTCAGTTACTAGCAGAGGAGAACAAGGCCAGTCTGCAAAGAGGGAGATCAGCCACCTTGTAAGAGCTGGAATACCCGCGAAATCAGTGCTGGAGGTGGGGGGGTTGCAGGGAGCCAGGACTAGCTTGGAGGGAGACTGTGTTGTGCTGCAGACATTACACATTTGTGTAGGGGCACTTTATGAACATCTGGTCACTCGGAACTGTTCTGGATAACGTTACATGAACATGCAAACCCTAACATGCACATTTTTAACAGTTTGAGGCATAATTCACACACTACATCTCACTGATTTAAAGTGCCCAAGCATCCTGCTCACGGCCCCCCACGGCAGGAGGGTGTCCTCCGGGAAACTTACAGTGCAGGGGGTTTAAATGTGCGAGAGAAGTTAACGTACTTTGTAAAATGACACTCCAGGGCCCAAAATAGCAACCGGCCCCATTACAGCTTTGTTTTTGCGACAGCTTTGCTTTGAGGAAAGAAGGCAGGGAGGCTTGCCTCCTCCCCGGAAGTCAGAATGGAGCTCTAAAACTCCCATCCTCTGCGGGCTTGCCAGGCTATTTCCATGTCATGCATATGTGAAGAAGGGAGGCCGTCTGAGATTTCGAAGCTTCACTCTGGAGGACAGCCGAGTACACAGTGACATTTTTATGATGTGTCTCCTCCTGTGCCTGTGCCTAAGAACAGGGATGTGACTCAGGGGTGTACTCTCCACTACTGGCGGCGCGCGCTGACGTCCTAGCAGGCGCAAGCGGTTGTGCCCCCGCCCTGGGTTACTGTTCAGAACAAATGAGAAGTGGGTGTAGGAACCACAGACAGAAGTCAGGAGATCAGCTGTATCACTTTATTACAAATACACGTAAGACCCGGGGAGCAGGCCCACGGTTTCCGGGGGTCACTGAGATTCAGTTCGGAGCAGGAAGCAGCAGTTTCCCAGCTGCGAGGCCAGAGCTGCCAGGGTGGGACTGCACATGGCCCCTCCGCACCCAGCACCCACCCTGCCCTCAGTCTTGTTCATCTGCGACATGTCTTCCTCTCCTGAGGCCATCCTGGGCCCAGGATGGCTGCCCCAGCTTCAGCCATGGTGTATGCAGCCGACAGGAAGAGGGGCCAGGGAAGGCCGTCCCCACTGAAGGCCCCCATTCCTGCTTACATCCCAGTGCAGTCCCGTGGCCTCACCTCCTAGGAAAAGCAAGTCTTCCAGGCCGCCCTGTACCTGATAGAAATGGGTATCTGCCGGCTGTGGTCCTTGCCCTGCCCCGAGCTGAGCCCAGGCAGCCGGCAGGGCCCACCCGGCAGGGCCGAGTCAACTGCTGGGCTGCTGCTCCTTCTCCCACTGCAAGGCCGGGGCGGCCCCTTCCTGGCTGCAGGCGGGTGTCTCTCTGGGGGGGAACAGCGAGCTGTCGTAGGGCAGGAGGGCCGCGCAGGACCTGGCCCCGCAGTGACAGGGCTTTCTTGCTTTCCCCGGCTCTGGCCTCGCGGGGGCTTCACTGTCCATGGGATTAAGAAATCTTCCTGAGTAGTCGTAAGACAGTTCCTCCTGCGGCAAAATGTTTCTGGCTGCAAAAAGCGCCAACTTGGGGACCATGGAGTCCACGCGGACAGGAACCATCAGCAGGTTGGGCTCACAAGAATGGTTCAGGAACCGGCCGACGTTGCCGACGCGCGCGGGGTCCACGAAGGTCTCCAGGACCTGCCCGCCGCACACGTGCTCCCGGAGCGCGAGGACATAGTTGGCCTCGCCCGGGGCCTGCGCCCCCACCCGCCGCCGGGCCTCAGCCGGCCCCAGCACCTCGCCCGCGTACTCGCAGACGAACTGGCCCTCGGGGATGGCGTCCAGGGCGCGCAGCCCCCAGCCCTTGGCGCCCGCCGGGAACACCTGCAGGCGCCAGCGCAGGCCGCGCTGCACCACGCGGTTCCCGCAGGCCTCGCCGCACGCGCACAGGGCGTTGCACTCGAACACCGGCCGGGCCCGCGCGCCCGCCCGCAGCCCGAGGGCCTCGTCGTAGTTGCGCCGCCCGCGCAGGCAGCAGCAGGAGCCCGGGGCGCAGGGGGCCGCGCGGCAGCCGCACCCCGGGAAGGTGACCTGCGCGGGGTCGGCGTCGGCTCCGGGTCCCGCCACGTGGTCCGGCGAGTACTGCGGACAGAGAAGCCGGGGTCAGCGCGGCCGGGGCCGCAGCTCGGGCTGCGATGCTTCCGAACCCCGGCACAGCGCGCCCCCCAAAACAGACACACCCCACGTGGGGAGATGTCAGAAGACTCGCCTCTCCGACCGAAAACGAAGATCACTGTTTAGATGTAAAATGTGGCTTTACTTTAGGCACAGGGAGAACGATCAGGAAAAAACATTTTTCTTTTATCAGAAATTGAAGCTTTGCAACCCATTCTGGTTTCCTCTGCGCTCTGGATGCCGGGAAGCCAGAGCTGAGGACAGTCTGAACGCAGGAAGCATTTTCTCCTTGGCCTCGGGCCTCCTTACACTGCTCTAGAATGGACAGGCATGTGTTTATTTTTATTCTGACTTGGTGCAGAGCCTCAGTAATAAAATCATACACAATAAACCAATGGAAAATGGCCTTTGGAAGAAAGTCTTCCATAGATTTTATAAGAATTTTTTATTCAAAGATTGTTTAACTTCTTAACTATTCTCTGATATTTAAAAAAACACTATTACTTTATAGTTCTATTTGAGTCTTCTCATGGTTGAAAAGGGCATTTTCCCCCCAAAAAGGGGGGGGGGTGCAGGCCGAAACCCAAGGATCGTATTTGTGACCTGATATTATGGGATATTTATGCTTATTAGCGATGTATTGTCTGCAGAGTACACACATATAAAGAAATCCCGCTCTTGTTAAATGAGAAGGAGGTGATATAAAAAAGTTACTTGGTTTTTAAATGTATTTTCAAAATGTCACATTTGTACAATGTTAATGGAAAAGAAGACCCTCGAAAGTGAAGCCTGAGCTGATTCCCTCGCTGGGGTCCTGAAGTGTCTTTTCAAACCTTGCAGACTGAAATCTCGCTCAGGAGCCTGACGCGTGAATTCAGGTAACTTTTATCCATGCTTTGCCTGAAAAGGATGCTGGATACGTGCACAGCGGGCAGGGAAAGCAAGGCGGAGGCCGTCAGGGCCAGCGGGTGCAGCGAGCTTGGACACAGTCTGCGCCTTGGCCAGGGCATGTCCACGGCCCACCCCCAGGTCAGATGTGCTCTCCGGCAAGGGCTCGGGGAGAGGTTTCACCCAGGTGTCCACGAAGCCCTCTGCCCAGAGCTGTTTGCAGGGCGTTCCCCCATTTCATCCACTCTGAGCCCCCAGAGAGGCGGCGCCGGCTGCCGGGTGCAGCAGGACTGAGCTCAGCCCCATCCAGGGAGGGCTGGAGAGGCCCGGGTGCTGCAGCCTTCCTCCTCCTCGTGGCCCCCACACTTTAGCAGGTACTGGGGGCCGGGAATCAGACTCCCCTCCAAGGCCTTGGGGAGCGAGGTGGGTAGGTGCAAACCCCTGACCTTTCACAGCGTGGAGTGGAGGAGCCCCGCTGTGAGCGGAGTGGAGGGAGAGTGGGAGCAGCCGTGGGGGGGGGGGCGGGGGGCGGCACCGCTTGGAAGCTCCGTGGGGGTGGAGGGCGGAAATAGCTCCCTCGTGGGTGCCTTCTCACAGCTCCCGCTGAGCAGGGCTTCCTGAGGGGCGCAGATGCAGGGGAAGGAGCTCCTGCCGCCCAGGGGCTGCCACTCACCTGCTCCCCAGTGCCAGCGCCGAGGCCGGCCGTGCACGGGCACGTTTCAAGAAGTGCTTGTGAGATGAAGATTTTACTGTCTCCTTATGAAAGCACTCAGGAAGGATTTGCTCAAAGGCACACATGTTTTAAATGTATGATGGACATCACTAAACTCTAAAGTGATTTTTCGACACCGAGTGCGCCTTTTAAAATCAAGTCTGGCTTCCTGTGATCTTCTGGGCAGGGGACCCTCTGCTCCTTGTGGGGCTTCCTTGCGTCTGGAGGCTTCTAGCTGCTTATTTTTCACTTATGCATTTTAAATGGATTAGGAAGAATCCAGTGACACTGTTTTTAGATATGCAATTTAAACCTGATGCACAATCTGAGATGCTTTTGGGACTTAGGTCACACATGGCAGCTAATTCCCAATGAGCTCGGCCACCTTCCAGAGGCTAACAGCCCCGCTGAAAGAGATCTTTGTTTCCCTGATGGATGTCATCATTTTATCCCCATGTTTCTACTTTCTCCTCCATAAAAGTCAGTGAAATATCATTCTTTACCTGACTTAGAAAAACGACATTGTCTAATTATGTAACTATTGTCTGATTACGTAACTATCCATTTCCCCAGGTATTTAACGACATATTGAAAAGTTGTTTATCTGCTTCAGAAATAATCTGGTTATCACTGACTTGACATTCTCTTGAAATATTTACATGGCATGGATGGGGGTCTGGGCGGCTAGAGACTGAGGCGGCCAGTCCCACCTGTGGGCTCATGGGCAGGCACAAGTCGACTGTGTTTGCCAAGCCAGTGCTGACCTGTCAGCTTCACGTTCTGCCACACATGTTGCACAGTGAGTGTGCAGCCAACTGCTGGATGTAGACAGGGAGGTAGGAAGAGGGAAGAACCACCCGAGGACTCGGCCCTTGGATCCAGGCATGCCTGCAGGTACTGCTCTTGGACTTCTCCGTTGCCAGGTAATTCCTTCCCTATTTCGCTCGAGTCAGTCTGTGTAATGTTTATGTTTTTTTTTCTGGCCATCAAATGAATTGTGACTGATACACCTGGAGTATCACCGAGAATGGGGCAGACACTGAGCATGGTTCTAGGAAATAACTGGAAGGTTTAGTGAAAGATGTAGGTGGCCAGTGAGCAATGAAGTCTCAGCTGGGAGGTGGGCCTGCAGGAACGCGCCGGAGGCCAGGTGGCAAAACCGAAGGTGGCTGGGCCACTGGGCGGGCAGTGGAGATGACGTGCTACAGGACGGGCAGGGTCGTGAAGGAGACAGACAGGGCATGAGGCTTGCTAAGCTTGGGGCTGGCAACCATAAAATGGGGATAGCACCGATATTGGGGGTGGGAAGGTCTCATGCAATTTAAATGAAAATGCTCAGTATCATCACAAAACCTAATGTTCTTAAATTATTGTAGATATTATTTCTAGATTTTATATTTAAAACAGCAAGTATTTCCTAATCTCTCTAAACACTTTCTATTTCATAGGTTACTGTGAAGGAAAAAAACGATAAAATCCAGGTAAAAAGCTTCCTCGTGTGGCTGGCTGTGTTTGCACTGTGAATTCTGCAGGCTAAAAAGCAGGTTCTGGAGTCAACCTTGCCAAGTTCAAAGGGCCTCGAGCCACAATCATGTCAGGGAAACCACCTGGTGACTCCCTCGATGCTATTAATTCTCCATCTTGGAGAGGGAGAACCAAGCGCTGACCAGCACAGATTGCTTTCATTCATCAATAAATCTAGCTTACTTGTCTCTTACCTGCAATGTGCTGGGATTTAGAAACAACCACTCAGAGAAAAACAAAAAAGCAGACAGGGAGTATGTGATTCTTATCCTTTTTTGGTATTGTCACAACAGAAGCTTTACTTTTTCTCAGGTAGGTATCAAAGAGCAAAATTGGTCATGCAAGGGTTGGAATTAAATGCAAAATGAGGCATTAGAAGTAGAGCCTAGAAGAATTAGATTTCAAGTTTTGGGGCAGAAAACCTAAGAGGAAATATTTGGATATATAGTTCTGGTTCCTGAGAAGTTAAATAGAGAGAGAGAGGAGAGAGAGCAGGCTGAAGGGAAAATACACCTGCTGGGCTATTCTCAGTCTCCCCTTCTCCGAACTGGACTGGCACAGATGAAGCTCGGCCTTTGGGCTCCCTACTGGGGCTAAAGGGGCAGATCTTGTCTTCCTAACAAAGATATGTCTTAAGGAAAGGCGCAGTCATGAGGCAAGGGGGTGGCGTGGGGGTGCTATCTGTCTCCCAGCACAGAGCAGGTGGCGCGGGAAATGTTTTTTGATAGCTTGATTGCAGCTCTTGATAACTTCTGAATGGAAGTTTGGCTTTTCAAAGTCACATTCTGTGCCCAAGCAACAGAAACTGAAATATGACACCGCGTAATATTCTGGGCTTCAAACCTAGGCCTTGATCTTGAATTTTAAAGAAGTGCTGGACAAATCTTCATTCCTTTTTTGGTGTTTTGGAAACACTAGCTGTAAGAATCTTTGCACTTGGCATCTAGTCGAATAAGTTTGTTTTTGCTCCAAGTAGCTATTAGGAACCTGTGAGCCAGATAATTCTTGTCAAGGTCAAGTTGAAATTTTAAAAAGAATGTTTAAAAGTGGTTTCAGAGCCCTGAAAATTGGTTAGCTCCCAGCCTGAGCTTAAGAAATCAATTAGTTTATTTTCTGCTTGGTGTTTGCCACTATGGTATGCTTATTTCCAACCTGAACATGCGAATGTTCTTTTTGCCTTTTCAGAGAGTAAGCAACAGTTAACTAGATACACAGTTAATTCTGCATTGAATTTTTCACGCCTTAATTCTTATGTGTACAGATGCCCATAAAGGCAGGGCTTGGCAAAAGCAAGCTGTTTTGATCTTCTTAAGATGAGTTTTAATCTTCTATGAATATCTGGAAGCAAGCTAGTTGAAAGAGCTAGGAGGCTTATCATTTAAAGATTTCAAGCATGCTTTATCTTTTTTTTTTTTTTTTGCTAAGACTGTAAGTTGCAGGAAGAAGGGATCTTGTCATCTTTCTGGAACATTAACCACCCAAAGCGGTGCTGACGGCCAGCAGCCTGATTGCTGAGTGAGGCTCAGGTGCCTGGCTCCATGTAGCCCATCATCTGTAGGGAAAAGACTCAATCTCAAGGCTTCCATCCTTCCTGCCCAGGAATTCACAGCTGTCCCCGTTTTATCTCCAACACCCAACTTAACATGATGCCTGGCACATTATAAGACCTCAATTATTTCTTGAATAAGAAAAGATGCATAAGTGTTTTCGACCAGGCACTCAGCAGTGTTTCGTCTTGAATAGGCGTTTACAGATCAGAGTCTACTGTGATGCCCGCCACCAGTGTCACTAACCATCAACTGCCTAAGGCAGGTCAAGTAATGAGAAGCCTCTCTGATGGCATGTCCCGCTCTGTTCTGAAAACTGCCATTGACGCTCTTGACTATCCTCACACCAGTCCCAGCAGGCCAGGAAGAGGAAGCGCAGGGGGTTGACTTCAATAGTGAGGAGGGCTACACTGTCCATTACTTTCATTTCCCAGGCAAGGAAACTCCTGGAGCCAAGCTCCCCCATCTCCACGCCAGGGCCTTTCCAGTCGAGCACCCTGCATATCCTTTTCTTGGTCATCCCTTATTCCTTACCCTGCAGGCCAAGGTCAGAGGAGTGAGAAAGTCTGAGCGGAAAGGCTTTGAGGTAGTGTAGTAGCACGGACATTTATGGAGTCATGAAAGCAAGCTAGCAACTGTTTTGCTTGTAGTTCTCAAGCAGTCATGGGGACAGGGTCTGTGTAGGGTAAGTAAAAGTATCAGGCTTTTCTGCCGTCCTGCCACTATGATTGATGATGGATCCCTGTGCTCCTGAATACATGCCTGGTGGCAGGCACATGGAGTAGGGTGTGGCCATGCGTGGGTGGAGTCACCTGGGCTGAGCCTGAGCTTATAAGGGAGGCGTCAAGGGGACGCCAAAGGAACAGCAGAGCGAAAGAACCAGCAGAGAACAAGGCCAAGAAAGAACACCAGAGAGCCAAGAAAGAGTGAAGATTTGCCGGGGGCTAGGAGGCCTGCCAGCCTCCTGGCCCCTGCACACTCCTGCCTGCCATGGGCCTCGTAAAATCCCAATAAAACCTTGAAAAGCCACCGAGGGTTCCAGGACTCCTCCTGACCCCGTCTGCTCGGATCACAGAGATCCTGCCCTGTGCCCATCCTGCCACTACAGTCTGTAAAGCTCAGCTGAAGCTGGTCTGTTTGTTCAAGAGCTCGCCACAAGAAGAAGGCCCAGACTTGTGAACATATTGAGACAGGGCAAGCTAGGGTTATTAGGCAGTTTTAGGGACAGTGCAGGAGGGGACCTCTGAAGAATTTAGGGAGGCTTCAGAGATAAGGGCAAGCAAGGAAATGAAACCAATTCCACTGGGAAAAACAAACATCCTAGCACCACAGATAATCTTGTTAAAGATGGTCCTGGTTTTCTTCAGATGATAAGATAAAGTGTAAAGATGCTCACCGGGAGGGCTAGACCATAAAGATAAAGATGTAACAAATGGGGAAAGACAGACCTGTTAGATAAGGAATGTGAAGATCTCCCACTCAGTAGCAAATTAAGTGAGACAGCCGAAAACTGACCAATCACAAAGAGACTGGTGGAGTTTTAGAATAATGAGGGAAAAAAAGATATATTCCCTGAGACACAATTCCACTTTGGCTTCCTTGCCCCTCCCAGGCCTGGTTCCCTGGCCTGGGAGTCCCACTTTATTTCTGCTCTTTTTCTCCTCAATAAACTTTTTCTTTTTCTAAACAAACCTGTCTTTGCTTGCTTGCTTGCCTGAGCGTCTGCGAAGTTCCTGCTGCGGCTTCGTGAGACACCAACCCGTGGGGGGTCTAGCGGCTGGGGCTCAGCGCTGCCCTGCAGCCAGGAATCCGTTCTTGGCTGAGAGACTAGGCCTGACAATTCCGGTATCAATATCACAACAGGTCCTGGGAGCTCTCCCCTCCCTTGCCTTATGGACAAGAGCAGAGCCCCCTGCATGTACTTGATGTCTGAGAAACAGCTGTGCAAAAACCTACTCCCTTTGGGTAAAGCCAGTCTTTCAACCCCCACGAACGACCAAGGATTCAGGTAAGATTAAATGCTTTGCACCCCACAGCGCGTTCTTCAGAAAGGAAGGGCTCAGAGCCTGGCTTTGTCCTCTGCACACAGGCAGCGTCAGTATGTCTCTAGGCCAAAGAAGCCCTGTCAAGAGTAACTTCGTTTTTCGGGCCTCCCCTGGTGGCACAGGCGGTTGAGCACCGCGCTGTGAAGCTGTCCCCAGCCTCTGCAGCACCGGTTGGTTCCCGGCTGGCCGGTGAGGGTCCCACATGGCGCACAGACCTCTCCTGCCGTGGGCGCTGTTCTGGGCCCACGCCTCCTCTGACGATCTCATAAGTGCTGGCTAGCTCTGCCACGCCTGAGGCAGCACAGGCAAGTGACTCACCCTGGGGCCCTCTGAGTTCTGGGGTCTGAACCAGGACAAAAGGCTGTTCCCAGGAGACCCCAGAAACCTCTCCATTTTACCCTTCAGGGAACTGCTCATCTATGGGGAGAAAAAAGAATTACCCTTGCTAAGGGCGTGGGGAGGGTTACCGGAAAAGGACATAACTTGTGCATTCAAGGGCAGCTTCCTGCACAAACGCACTGTGATGGGGCAAGTCGAAGGGCCCAGAAGTTTGGAGACAACCTCGGTCATAAACAAGGAGGACCTGCACCCCTAGCCCGGCCCTTACAGGTGGGTGCCGCCCCCACGCCCCCAGGGCCAAGCACACAGAGGTCTGCAAGGAGCTCCCCCTGCACCTGCTGGGCCCTTGGCCCCGCCCACACCCGGAAGCGCTCTGGCCCCGCCCCTCGCAAGGGGGTGGCCCCGCCCCTACGGCAGGGCGCTAGCCCCGCCCCTTACAGAAGAGTGGTGGCTCCGCCCCTTACAGAAGGGCGCCGGCCCCGCCCCTACCTGGAAGGGCGGTGGCTCCGCCCCCGGGGGCCACGCGCTCACGGGCAAGTTCTCCAGGCCTCGCGCGACGTCCAGCGGTTCGGTGGGGGCCACGCGGGCCTCCTCAGGCGCCGCCATCCCCCAGCTTGCGCGGTCTCGCGAGCGTCCCGGCGCCCGTTCTCGCGCGCGCTGCCGAGCGCGGCGCGGTGCCTCTCGGGAGTTGTAGTTCGCGGGCGGCCGGCTGAGAGGGCGTCCGGCCTAGCCCACAGCGCCCCGTGTGGAGCCGGAGGCGCCGCCGCGCAGCCCGCAGGTACGCGGAGTCGGGGCGCCCGGCCGCGGGGGGGCGGTCCTGCCTGAGCTCCCGCCCGCGCTCTGCCCGCTCTGGCGCCTCCCCTCGGCCGCCGCCGGTCGCGCCTGACGCCGCGGCTTCTGGAACCTTCCGGGGCGCGGCGGGCGGGGGCGGGACGCCTCTGGAGACACTTGTGCGAGTGCGCGCGCCCCGGAGGACCCCGCGCCCGGCTCCAGGGCGCGTCCCCCCCTCGCCCCCCCCCCCGCGGCCGTCCGGCCCCCACGCCTCAGCTCCCCGCGGGGGCTGTCGCTCCTCCCGCCCTCGCCTCAGGCGCCTTCCTGGCGAGGCCGGCGGGACGGGCCCTCCCGCGCCTGGCGGGCGCCCCTGAGGGCCCGGACACTTTCCCCCTTACCCGCCCCCCCCCGCGCCCCCCCCCCTCTGTGCGCGGCCCGCCCCCCCCAGGTGTCCGTGCTCGCCGCCCTGACACCCCTCCCGGGGCTTCTCGCACCTGCTCACCCAGCCCCGTTCTCACCCCTGAGGCCCGCTCGTTCCTCTGCCCCAGGCCCAGCCTCCCCACGGCGCGCAGAGACATGGACGCCCCTGCTCGGGCCTGCGATGAGGTGCCCCCTCGTGCCCACCCTGCCTTCCAGTTCGGGTGACCTAAATTGGGGCAGACACTGAGAGAAGCTCCCTGGCGGCGCGAGGGGCTCAGCACCGCGCTGTGAAGCTGTCGGCAGCCTCTGCAGCGCGGGTTCAGTCCCCGGCCGGGGAGAAACCACAGGGCGCAGCAGACCCCTCCTGTCTCCCCGCTGCGCCCCTCAGCAGTGGATCTCAGTGGATCCGCCTGTTCTGCTCCCCACTCTGTCTCTGGGGAGTCCTCTCACCCCCCCCACACCTCTGGCCTGTACCCCAGTTCTTGCATGCATAAATAAATAAATCTTAAAAGCAGGAAAGCACTCAGCAAAGCAGTCTGAGCCAGGCCCCACTCCCCAGTGTTTTCTACTTTTCTTGCTCATACCCACTTAAACGGCAAAAGGATTTTTAGCAATATGATCTTTTTCAAGTCTTTCCAGAGTGTTTAACTTAGTTTTCCTGGTGGGGAGAAACTCTACACTGGTAGTTCATTTCCTCACACAGTTATAAGTTATAGCTGGCATTAATAGAGGCTTAGTTCCATCTTCTTGGACAGAGTAACAGAAACGGAGCGGCGTAGCAGCAAACGTTCATTTCTCAGAATCGTGCCAAAGACCCTCTTCCTGTCAAGATGGCTCCCCCGTGTCCTCATGTGGCAGAGACAGAAAGGTCTAGCTCTTGTCCTTTCTGTCAGGACACATCCCTCACAGTGCGGGCACCATCCTCAAGACCTAATTGCCCCCCAAGACCCCACCTCCAAATACGGTCACATTAGGGCTTCAGCATATGGGCTTCAGGGGGGCACAGATGTCAGGCTTATACTGTGTCTCCATAAGCAGATAATCAAGTCTCTTAATTTTGCACTGAACTACACATCTGATGTAAAAACCCTTGAGAGCAGGTTGAGAGGAAGTTAGAACATGGCTTCCATGGAGAGACCCACCAAGGGAGGGGTGGGCACAGGACCTGGAGTCAGTCTTACCCACTATGTGGTTCTCCCTGTCCAGCTTCTGGCCACGGGCACCAAGAGCCGACATTCCCTGAGCTGTTAGTATGTGCCAGACACCACGGACACAACCGGTTTCCTTTCCAGCTTAAGGCACTTGAAGCCTTGCTGACCTGACCTACCCAGGGTCGTTGTAGACTCAGCCAAGTCCTCAGGCTCGCAGGGCTTTCCTGGGGCACGTGGGCTTTAGGTTCGGCCGATGTCAAGAGGCACAGCTTGCCTGCAGAGAGGCTTCAGTGTCCTTCTGTGGCAGCAGTGCCCAGACCCATCACGGCAGGTCACAAAGCTGCCTTAGGGATGTTCTTCCTGGAGCCAGGTCATGTTTGCGGAGAAGAGATTCCCTCTGGAGGGCGTGGGAGGCCCCTGAATATGAAGTTGTCATCGCCGTCGCCTGCTCTCACTTCAAAGGGGAGTGTCACTCTGCAAGGCACTTGCTTCTGGTGCTATTTAGGGGCATAAGGTTCAGGCAGAGAGCTGTGGAGCATCAAGGGAGGGACATGTGACATCTAGCTGGGGGGAGATAAGGGAGAGCGTCACTGAGAAGGGGGTGCTTGCCAGAGGCTTTGACAAACTGGTAGAGTTTAGGAAGATTCGGATGAATTCCAGGCAGCAGGAAGAGCAGGAGCAAAGGATGTGTACAGAGATTTCAGATAAGCTGGCGATCAGGTGTCTTTCGTTTTTCAGGAATTGTGACCAATGAAGGGACTTTGCAGATATGCGAAGAACATGCTAGTCTTTCATATTAAGAGCAGTTTTGAACACCGGTTCCGTGTGTGGTGCTGTGTTGCCAGTTTGGGGAATGTACCCGTGAAGATGAGCTGCCGTAAGGCAGCCAGTCCAGCGAACCAGTAACCACATCCCAGAAATTAAGAAAATGACACAGTGTTATGGAGAAGGTTTGCTGGGACGTGAGGAGGGCCGCACTCCATGTTTGTGGATGATCGTGCTGTTCTTCCTGGACTCTGTTGGTGGTGTTGTCTGCCCTTTGGAAAACTGTTTTGAAGGATCCAGGCGTTTTCTTTTACCCCTCAAGTTGTCAGTGATGGTACTTGCAGAATAAGATATTCAGCTCATGTGAGCCCTTCAGTTTAATTAGGTTTTATCTTGCTGGCAAAGGACCCATAAGTATTTTATTGAGTGTGAAGTTAAGATAATGAAAGAATGCAGCAGACAGGCGCAAAAAACCCACCGAGCAGTCAGCAGTCCAGCCTCCAGGGCCGCAAGCCTGCTCCCCTCTAGACACCTGCTCTGCAGCACCAGAGTGTCTCACACTCTGTACTGAAAACCATTATGGCCGCCATGGTAAAAAGAAAAAGTGTCTTTGCATATTTTTTCCCAAAGTGATTGTTATTAGTAAATATTGATCTGAACATTACATTGATTATTTAAATTTATTTGGGTTGATTCACTGACAGATAAGAAACCAATCTTGTCTGTTATCAAAAAAATGAAAGAAACAGAAAATAATTCGGTATAATAAATATCTGACGGCCTATAGGTTCGCTTATCCTGATAATTTATGGGTACGGCCATCTGACCTTTCTGCTTTTTAACGAAATGTCTTTTCATTGAGATGCTTTTCTTATGTATTTTAGCCAGTGTTTTAGTGAATTTCTGCAGGATTTTGTTTTCAGAAGCCGTTCTTTCCTTAAATTCTCATTAACGTCATCTGAACTTAATCTGGCATGTAGTTTATGGCCAGTGAGCAAAGGTCTAAAGTCAAAGGAGTTATCTATTCATTAATGTCAATAACAGCGTGAACAGATTAGTTTGGACTGTCTGCTGGACATTAAGTAGGCATAGAATAAGCCCCGGCTGCTGTCATCCAGGAAGACTGTAAATGAACACATTTTGTAGCGAACTAAACATGCAGTTGATACTTTGGGGGTTTCTGCCCATATCCTTGACTATTTCCCTCCTGAGAGCATGCCAGCCCCCACACAGCTGCCCCTGAGTGGGCTCAGCGGCAGGCAGGTCTCAGGGCACAACCCCGAAGTCTGACCCTTGCTTTTGGCCTCTGAAGCGCACCTCTTTCAAGGTAGGCCAGTTGGATTCTCTTGACGAGTAAGGACCCAAATGCAGGACTGTATTTACAGTGGTGAGCTGAGAGGTAACTTCATTCATGTGGATGGAGAAGCAGAAGAGTCAGTCTTTCAAAAGAAGAACAAAGCAGGCGAGTGACAAGGAGAGAGAACTTCTTAGTTCCTGCCATTTCTGAACCGGGACCCTTTTATAAAGTCACCTGACATATTTGTATTTTTTTTTTAAAGATTTATTTTTTTAATTTATTTATTTATACAAGCACTGGGTACAGTCAGAAGCACGGGATGGTGAGAGAATTCAGCAGAGCCAGAGCGGGGAACAGAGCAGGCAGAAGGACCGAAGTCCACTGCTGAGGGGAGCCGCGGGCGGCAGGAGAGGTCTGCGCGCCATGTGGGACCCTCCTCCGGTGGCCGGGGAGCAGCCGGGGATCGAACCGGCGCTGCAGAGGCTGCGGGCAGCTTCGCAACCCAGGGCTCAACCACTGCACCGCTGGGGAGGTCCCATGTTTGTATTCTTAGAGCAGATGCTTTCTGAGGGTTAGGTTCTAGCAGTTCGGTTTCTGTGACTTCAGTCAAGGAATGCTGGCCAGGAAAGGTACCACGGGTTTCTGTGGTGGCGTCATTGTTACCAGTATTACCACGCGGGCGGGCTGAGTGATCAGCTTCTGTGGTCCGGGCACAGGTTAGCTCATGTCTATGAATGTTTGCTCATTTTCTAGCTGGTAGGCTTTTTCCTAACTTTCCCACTTTGCCTTCCTTCCTCATGTGTCTTCCTGAAAGTATGGCTCCTGAAAATAATATGAATAGCAGTTTACAACATGAAAAAGAAGTGAAAACTATGAAATTTCTATTTGGTAGGAGGAAATATAGTAATGATAGCTAATACTTATATTGCATATAATATGGGACCTGTATTATAAAGAGATAGCAAAGCATGGAGTAAATCAGAGCCAAAATTGTGTTTTTAGTAGCTAAAATTCCATGTCAATGTGTGTGGCTTATAGATTACATGGCAATTGATTAAAATAACTTGAGAGCTGTATTTTACAGAAGTATGATACTGTGCTTTTTTTCCTTTCCAGAGAGTAATTTTTATTTTTGTATTTAGACTGCTGGTGTGTGTGTGTCTGTGTGTGTATAAGAATAAAACTCACATCTTGTCCTTTGT